TTAACCAGTAGAAGTGAACTAGTTCACTTCGACACGTTCTACTGACCGATGAAAGTAGATATACAAATTAATGGCACTCACTAGTCATGTTAATATAATGTAAACCCTAGACGACCGTCCATCTGTCTTTATCTCTGTGTGTGTGTCTCTCATGCTGTATGAAGTTCACGAGAGGTGATTGTAGACTAAAATAAATAAAATAATGTACAAGTCACATCGGATAAGAAGTACAGTTTATGACAGTCATTTATTAATGCACTTATTTAGGAAAAATGTCTTAATTCCGTTGGCCCATGATATTATGAGGAATAACTACCAGTAGCTTTGAAGATAGATTACAGTCACGACCCAGTATCAATTGGGAAGTGATAATTATTAATATTATTATTATTTTTGGTTCTCCTGTTTAAAACTCTTCGGAAATGTAAAATAGTCACCATGTGAATGACTGAATAAATTTATTACTGTTATTATTCTCTTAGTTTGCGAGATGAACATAGGGTTTTAATGACACATCTCCATCTGACCATTTTCTCTGGAGTGCTTTTTAGCTGGCTTCCCGACTGCTCATAACCTTTTCTCACACGATCTCCTCCTTATTATCCTTGGAATCCAAACTCATCGTTTCCCATTTCGGTTCCACTCGAGGGACTGGCGCGTGACGTCACACACCTTTCTTTCATTTCTTTCAACTGGTTCGGGTCCAGGGTTTCTCCAGTGCTGCTACGTAATCTCCCTTCCTTTGCTTTGGTGGATGCAGTGAAGGTATCATTTATAGCTTTGTCCTTCAGCTTTTGAATGTTGAAATTGAATTTTGGTCGGTCTCCAGTTGCTTTCGAAATCCCTTGCACGTTGAAGGTCCCTTAAACTAGACAGTACTGGGAACCTACGTCTTCTACCCTTCTAGACTTCATGCCCGGCAGACACTGAATGCATTCGAATATATCAACTTAGTTAGCAAGTTACCACTCCATTATAAGACTAGACTGGAAATACCCCTGACTGTTCATCTTCTCATAGTTAGTACATGACAATAAGGCTAATTTCTGTCTAGCTCATGACAAAATTCCACCTACTGAATCTTATATAAACTCTCCATTAATTTTACATTTGAGTACTTTTATTTCAGTTTTTATTAACAAAAGACTAAGAGTATTCAGTTACAGAAAGATCATCCTGTTTGTGAGAATCTTTTATTTCTATTCAACTAGCATAAAAGCTACAAAACTTTATTCATCCTCATTCTTTATTGCATAGAATAGTTTTGTTTCCTTAAGTGAATTCTTAACAAATTTCTTCTAGTGTTACTAAAATAATAATAATAATAACAATAATAAAAGCAAATGAATAAACGAAGACAGCCTTCTCTAATTAGGTTGACATTGTTTCACTTCACTCAAGTCTTTTGTTTAGCCTTCATATTTCCACATGTACACGTTATATAATAGTCTCTGAACGTTTCTCATTCTCTTTTAAGTCCTAGTAAGGATACATTTATCACTTAGCAACATATAATATGTGAAGAATTGTTTCTTATCATGTTTTTTTTTCAGTAGAAACCCCAAACATAAACGAAATATTACTATTGTTGATCGGAATGTTATTCACGTAAAGGTTATTGTTTAACTGCATTCAAGGCAAATAGAAGTAGGTTACAACAAACTTAAATTCTATGTTAAGAAACTTACTATCATTTAGTTAAACACTGTTCAATGTTCACTGATCAAAAATAGATCTGCTAAACAGCTAATTTAATGATAAATGGGGGCAACAACGTACCATGTATTCACACGACAGCTAGACATTATCTCTGGTGACTGTAGTGGGATTGTTGAGTTGGTTTGTAATTTGGTTATGTAGCCTAGCTGGTAAAACACCGACTTAGAGGCAGGTGGTTCAGATCCTATCTCAGTCTGGACTTTCAACCGACCTCCAGCTGTCACGTGTTACATAAGTAACTATCTGTTAATCAAAGGCTGTGACAAATGGACTCAGCATCAGTTTATAAAATGATGCTATTTAAATGAATGCAGGTACAGCCAACTGACGAATCTGTGACAAAGCTAGTCATGTGTCCTAAATTGCATTACTAGGCACCATCAGCCAGATGAAATCATGTCAACCGTAATGCATCACTGAAACCTGTAAACTAGCAGTAGGCATGTCAATGCAGGGAAATCATTTCGGTGCAATAAAATCAATCAATGGGATATTTCAGAATGACAAATTCAAAACATATCTCCCGGGACAAGACGGAGAAATATGTATCCAATGTTTCTTATATCTCACTTTCACCGATGCAAATGACAAATTCATCAAAGCACAACAGTAGACATAAAAAATTTTCTTTTAAGTCTAAGCGTATACAAAGGCAAAATGGGATTCAACTTTCCTCTTGGTGAATTATCCAAGAATCCACTCATTCTCGATTAGCAGTAGGTAAGCTTCAGTGTTAAACTCCCCTGACCGCTCAGATCACAAATGGTGATTACAGATCATTGATAACATGATTGCATTTTGATGAAAACTCAAATGAGAGATGAAATCTTTGTGCAGGCCTCTTTACATATTGAATTTTCACGTTTAAAATAAATTTTTTCTCTTCAGGAGTAACTACTTCGTTATTATTATTATTATATCATAGAGATGGAAAAGTTTCGATTCGTCGAAAAAGAGACAGTTAGTTGCCTACACATTAAAACCATCTCAGCGATTACAAGTGAAGCACACCTGCTGAAGTTATGAAAAATGATGGAATAAAGTACACTTGAAACTGCAGAATTATTTTTAAGCTAATAATGTTATTAACTGTTTTACTAAACTGCTTATCACTTTATTAGGTAGGCAGATAATGAAATAATCAATTGATTTCAGAGAAAAACGTGTTTACTGTTTACATTCTTATGCTAACACGTCTGATGCACTTCAAACGTAAATCTCATTCTGATTTCGACGGACTAACTTAGCTAAGATCTTACGCGCTGGTGCACTTGTCTATAAAAGTTTGTCTGCCTGCATATATTTCACCATCTTCAATATAGCACCGAAATAATTTATATTGTTATTCATTTTATTTGTTCACGTTCTCAGTGAAAAATAGGTCTTCAGGCTTGAGATTTGAAGTGTCAGTAGTAGGGCTGCTAGTCTCACCCCGAACATTCATTTTGTACTGGGGTTACCACTGGGTAAGCGAGGCTTAGGTATGAGTTGGCTGGGGGTCGAACACTGCACCACGAGCGTGGTTGATGAGTGTCCAACTGCTGAACCACGGACGTAACAGTGAACTGTTTATAACTGTTCGTCCCCTGGGTACACGTGTAATTAGACCCATTAATATAATGCTGTAGGGATTTCAGTTTGGGATATTGATAAAACACCAGACGAATTACAAAGAAATCTTTCTGGTCATGACCACAGATCAGTAGCAAATCATTTTCTTATGCACATTGGATGGGTGATCAGTAGGTGATAGTCAGTGTCGTGTGTCTAGTCCTCTAACTTCTGTCAGTCAAGTTTGCGATATAATTACTTGGTTTAGTGACTGACTAACGTAGTGCACTCTGAATTAATGTCATATAATTAGTTTGCTTATACTTTATTTAGTTCGCGTCTCATTCTTGTGTGCGTTTACACATTATTCTACAAACTAGTAATCTACCGTATTCAATGCTGGATCTTTCAGAATGTTAATTCATACCACTGGGCTTATTTATTAAAAGAGGCAAGATAATAAGGTAGAAAAATAGTAGCGAAAACTTATTTGTCTGATTCTACTGGGAGATCCAACTTCATTTAGTCAAGAAATCCAACATACTCTACAGCACTGACTTCGCATACCTTGGTTATGTCATAGTGTATCAGCAGTTATAGTTGCTTGTCTTCACTGGCTAGGGTAAAAATTGACTGTTTTAACCAAACAGATGGATGGTATATTCGGATTACACCTGAAATAAGAACTAATTTCGAAAATTTCGAATTTATCTTCAAATTAATGACAGCTTTTCAATCTTTTCCTCACTTCTCTCAACGGGAAGCTAGTGGGATTTGACTTTTACCTCATTCCAACTTTTCATGAAGCTATTTGCAACATAATTTTGTTCCGTATGTCAGTATACATTTTTTAGGTAGTATGACTAATCTTTCTTCGCAAAATGAAAGACTGAAACGATTTGTAAACATCAAAATTTTGTTCCTTTGCGCCAAATTCGAGCAGTACAGAATATTTTAAAAAAGGTGTTTTATAAAAATGGTAACTTTTTTATAACAGACTTCTTGAAAATAATTATTTCACTAATGATAAGTAGTCGGTTATAGATGCATATGGTGACAAAGTTTTGTCTCAATGGAGAATATTTGTAGCTCAGGTGAATGATTTACAATTAATAGTGTTCTCTGAGCTGGTTGGTTTAGTTGCAGAGCTTTCGTCGTCCTTCTGGACAACATCTTCAGCGTAATATTTAGCATAAAGTGAAGTGATTTAAATTTCTTCTTCTTCCCTCTAGAGAATTATTATTCAAAGTGCTAACAAATAGATACGCCCATTATTTCCCCCACCTCACCTAACACAAAGACACACATAAACTCTCTAATAGTTTCATCTTGTGATAGAGCCTTTTCCGTTTTCAGTTGTAATCTATGAACTAAACTATGTGTATAACATGAAAGAGTACAAATTAACTTTGGTATTCTAATCCTGGATTTTTATGACGCCATGGTATAAAAAGATTCGGTCATAGATGAGACTAAAGTCTTTAGCCTGTAAAGTTGTTCGAAACTATAGTTATTCCTTTTGTGAAAAGATTAATCTTGAATCAGTTGCGTCCACTGATCTGGTTGATTTAATTGTCAAACTTTCGTCGTCCTTGTAGACACCGTCGTCAGCGCAGGTTTCAGTATAAAATGGACTTATTTAAATTCTTGTTTGTTTCATGTGCAATGCTAATACAATTTGCGAGGATTGATTTCTTCAGCGTTTTATATTCTTTCACTTTTGTCTTTAGGTTGAATATTTATTCACAGATAAAACTGGAACGTTAACAGAGAATTCAATGCTATTTCGTCGACTGGCAACAGCTATGGGTGTTTTCTATTTTGAAAATAGCGGTTTATTTCGATATACTGATTCACCGCCAAGTACACATATTAACGATTTGAACGCTGATCAAAATACAATCAGTAGAGAAGAACAAGAAGAGTTGGATGAAGTTTCAGAAGCTGTAAAGTTGAAGTCAAACTCTGAAACCGAGAGTCAATCACCTACTGTAAACAGTGTACAAACATTACTTCTTCTGCTTTCTTTATGTCATACTGTTAGAGTTGAAAGGAGAATACCAGAAGAACTTTTTTCAAAGTCAACTCTAGACAAACTAGACAGTGATAAAACACCACGTCGGAGTAGTAGTGCATTAAGACGTGCGTCGGCAGCTCTTGCAGCATCTGCAGCCTTCCGTGCATCCAAACGTGGACGTAAAGTGAAAACGCATGATTATGAATATCAGGTAAGTCACTGGTGCTACCGCTGTTTGTTTGTTTTTATTTTGTAATTTTCCAACACTTCCACTTTCAGTTAAAAAATCTACCTAAATTAATATTATTCGTAAGGTTGTTTTAAAGCATTTCTGTGAGTTATGAGGAAATACAGTCTTCAGTACCCATAAGTGTAAAAATATCTCACCACAATTGACTGCCACCATGTTTTGGTCGATATTTGTGATTCTGAAGCACGGTTGTGTATCAGTGTCCTCTTAAGTGTTGTAAACGGAGGTCTGTAGTGAATAAACCCTTGTTTGAACTGAATTCTCTAGAACATCAAGATTATATGGTTGAATAAATTAAGTATTATTAATTGAATCTGAATAAAAGGCAGTAATGTCCTCGACTAATTCAAAGATAACAAAATATGAATTCATCCAAGAATGAAGATACAGTATGCTGAGAGGTCAAAGTAACTACTACTATTAGGTGACAGTGGAACACAGGGCTTCAGTAGGACATCTGCATTCCAGTTGGTTTTCTCTATGCCACCCTTGCACTATCGCCTGTCATTCGGATTCCATTAAAGGGCTTGGTGTGTAATGTCACTTGAATATCTCAGTGGATGTACAGTTCACCTCCATTTCCTTCTAAAATGTTTTTTGGGTAAAGTTTTTTTGCTGGTTCTGTGCCTACCAGAGTTTTAACAAGTCAGCCACCTGATCTTTATGACCGAGGCAGCACACGCACTTGCTGATGAAATGGTTTACTAGCTTTTTGAACATACTTTTGGTGATTTGGCAGCTACTTCGCTACTACGGGGTGCCATCGATAATTATACATCTCATCCAACAGTTATACGACAATGCTGCATGCCAAGTAATCCACAACGGGAAACTTACGGAAACCTTCGAAGTGAGGACGGGAGTGAGGCAAGGCTGTCTATTATCGCCAATGATCTTCCTGATTGCAGTAGATTGGATAATGCGACAGACAACGGCAACCAACGAGGGAACGGGCATAAAATGGACTCACACAAAATACTTGGAGGATCTGGATTTCGCCGATGATATATGTCTGATTCCCCACAAACTGGAGGATATGAAAGCGAAAAGCAACAAGCTGGCAGAAGAAGCATCCAGGGAAGATAGGAAGGACTTCAGGTGAACATAGATAAAACGGAGGTGATGAAGATTCCTGGCCAACACCACCACCACCAACAGCTGACAACAATCAGCCAGCATAAATGGGAGGAACCTTAAAGAAACAACCTCCTCTACCTACCCACCTACCTACTTGGGAAGCATCGTTTCAACTACAGGCGGGCGGAACTGACGATGATATCAAAGCAAGAATCGGAAAACCGAGACAAGCTTTCATTACTATCAAGTCTGTGTGGAGGTCAACAGCACTCAGAATCAAAAACAAGATCCGGATTTCCAACTCCAATATGAAGTCAATCAGTGCTACTATACGGATCAGAGACTTGGCCAGCGCGTCATGAAGAGCATGTCAAACAAACTTCAGACCTTCATTAACAGCTGTCTTCGCTCAATACTAGAGATAAGATGGCCAGAAAAGATCAGCAACAGGGATCTCTGCCAATGAGCGAACCAACCAGGAACCGATTGTGAAACCAATAGACAGGGAGAGATGGAGATGGATTAGCCATACTCTGAGGAAACCATCAAGTGACATCACTAGACAAGCCATTGCTTGAGTGAAACCCGAAAGGGAAGCGGTGAGTTGGTCATCAATGTAAGGGTGACTTGAAGGAGGTCATGTGGAAAGACTTGGAGCGGGGTGAAAAAGTTGGCAGAAAACAGAAGGCAATGGAGATGCGCAGCTGAAGCCCTATGTTCCTCTAGGAATTAAAGGATATAATAATAATAATAATAAAGTGTGGTTCACTCATTGGGTCGTAATTTTCGAAGAACTGTACTCCACTATTTTACTGTGGGAAAATAGAAACAGATTCAGTTATTTGTGCCCTCAAAATTCCAAGGTACGCTTAATATGATGTGAAAATCAGAAATCTATAAAGAAAATAAGTTCACTTTAAAAACATGACAGCGACTAACTAAGTACTTAGGGACCTAATTCATGTCATTCTTATTGGTATTTTTACAATGAAACGGATTTTTTAAAGTGTCCTGAGTTAGCTGAAGCTACAGGTCGTCCCTTGGACACTTTCATTTTGACAGACTTCTCAAAACCTTTGTGATTTTAGATAAGCATTTGATAAGTAGCACGAATTATAAAGACACGAAGTGTAAGAGAGTTTCAAAGCACGATTTTATATTGATCAGTAGAATCCATGCCACTAAACCTTCTGCTATGTTTGTCAAAGCATTCTCTACAGTTTACTATAAAAAAAGTCAAAATGAAGTGTATCACTTAATCTCTGACTACTGTAACAGAATAAATTTTCATCTTGGCTTATTTATTCAATCTATCATATAATTCAGCTGAAACATTCGTGAGGTAACTTCAGTTTCAAAACTTATTTCACACGTTTTTTCCTGGAAAATTTATGTATACAGTTCCATTCAGTCATCAAATTTCTCTGTATGGATTGTAGGATTTCGTAGACATGAGGAACATGTACTGAATAATTCCTAAAGTATCTGTATGAATTACTGTCTTGATAGACAAAATTTCAGTTGTCCGATTATTTCCAGAGAGTGTCTTTATATGTGTTTGTAGTTTTGTATTAATAAAATTTACAGATATTCGGATATAATTCATAGGTAGTTAATGTAAGTTAAAGAGCTATTTGATACTAGGGAGGTATGAATAAAATTTATAATTCAACTGAAATTTTTCATACTTGCTCTTAGTTATTATCTACAGAAAGTTAGTTATTATGAGTAGTAAATGCAACTGTTTCTAATGCTAAAGTCGTTGACGCTGTGATTTAGTTTCTGTTGAAGGTTTTTATCTAAATTAATTACTTCAGAACAGCATTTGTAAAAATATAGACATGAGATATATTATTGATGAAGACCATGAGACAATGAATGGGTGTTTTATAATTGTGTAATTCTGCATAGTATTGTAAAACTCAAGGCCTAACTACCTCCAACACCTCTTGCCTTAGGGCAGTGCATACATGGTGATGAAAACCTTATCATCAGGTGAACAAAAGTGATGTGTACTGGTTCTTGGTTTCTTAATTTCTCTTAATCATGTTTCTAGAAAGACAAAATTTGATTTTTTTTTTGACCTAAATTACCTCGATATTTAAGGGAGCTTCAAAAGGTATCCAGTGTTAGAGGCAAAATGTAGATAATCACTTATGTACTTTATAGACTTCAAGGGACTGATTTGATTGGTCACTTAAAATAAACTGAAGATTAAAAATGTCAGAAAACTGATTAGTAAAGGTACAATATTCTTTTCGACAACTTCTTCATTATATTATACAACTATGTATTCAGCATAGTTAGAGAATAATTGTTATTGACAACATAGTCAACATCAGTAGATTACAGTTCGAAATATGTTTGTGTGATGATGTGTATAAATATAACACTAAACTGAATATCACATACACTAAAACCAGGGTAACAATACCGGTTGAACTTGTTTCTTCTGTACGTAAAGTTCCAGGTGTCTTTCTATCGACTTGCTATAGCTTCAGCTGTTTGGAGTATTCACTATCGACAGGCCTTCAACAGTTTATTTTTATTTATCTGTTTTATTCCCATACGTTCCAAGTGGAACATGAAGATTCAAGTTTGGGTTTTGAAGTTTCTGGAGCATCGGTTTTACTTTTACGGGGTAGGGTTGCTAGCCCCAGGCACAATCCCCCCTGTTTACCGACTTTACTAGAAGCTTAGCGAGGCTTATCAGTACATCATTCCGGGAGTGAACTCCGGACCTCATGTATGGTCAGTGAACGTTCTACCGTTGAACTATCGACGCATCTAAAAATTTACTCAGCTGACGATAAATGATACAAAAAACATTCTGTGTATCGGCTTTATCACCAGGTTAGACGAGATGCTTTGACACCAAACTGTTGGGGGTATGTACTACTCCTTTATTTAACTACATTGGTGGGCGTTTCTGAGCACAAAAAATCAAGTTCCTAGAGCAACTACCGATAAACTGGCTCTAGAATGGCAGTGCGTAGGTAGCACAGTGGTTATGAATCTCACCGACCATGCAAATGGTCCGGGGTTCGATCCCCTGCCACTGCACGCCAGATATCAATGGTCGGCCTGCAAAATTTGGGCTACCGATATCATATGCTGAAAATTGCATTTAAGTGCGTCGGTGGTGTAGCGGTTAGGAAGATCGCCAACCATGCACATGGTACAGGGTTCGATCGCCGGCCGACGAACTCCTTTACCTCGCCAAACCAGAAATAATGCTGATAAAGAGGGAAGGTTAGGCATGAGGCTAGCAACCCCATCCTGTAAAATAAATACTGCTACAGAAACTTGAAGCCACTAGCTTGAAGCCCTATGTTCCACTGGGGAACCCGAAGGAAAAAAAGAAGGGCAGTTGAATTGGAAGATGTAAGATGTAATGGTCATCCTAGATTCTTCCGCTTTCAGTTTATGGCCGGAAATATGAGCTACAATTTACTGGTATTATCAAAGGTTCTCACTGTTAAGTACTAGACGTTTTTAGCTCACTATTCTAATAGAAAAGACTTTGACATCTAAAAGTAAATATGTTAAGTTTAAGTTTCAGTAAAAATCAAGAGAACACAGTAATGATGCGTCCCACACAAAAACAAACTACAGTCGTTTATGATAACGCTAGTCGCCACTTATAGCATAATTACATCCAACGTTAGACTAACGTGGTTTAATTATTCTACGGAATTCTTTTCGGCTGTTTGAAACGTGACTTATTAAAATTATAATAAGTAATGTGTCTAATTAAGTTGCTCTTAAGGGAACCTTAATTAAGTAAGCTAAAGTAGACGTCAATACTTTTTCAGCTCTAGTTTCCAAATGAAGTTTAAATCATACCTAAAATGTCATGTATATTTTGTATATTCACTAACTTC